GGGGGTCAAGCTATTCTCCATAGCACTATCCTCCCAGAGGGCAGGACAAGAGATAATGGATGGAAACTAATCAAGGAGAGAAGCAACCTGGAATTAAGGAGAAATTTCCTAAAAGTGAGGACAATTAACCAGTGGAACAGAAGTTGCCTTCAGAAATTGTGGGCGCTCCATCATTGGAGGTTTTTAAGAAGAGACTGGACAGTCCCTTATCTGAAATGGTAGAGGGTCTCCTGTTTGGGCAGGGGATGGACTAGAAGACCTCCAAGATCCCTTCCCGCTCTACTTTATTCTAAATTCTAGTAGACCTGGCCCACCAAGTAATGTTTCCTCTCTGGATTTTCTGGTGCTCCCATGGGAACTGCACTGCTAGTCTACAAAGGTAAGCTTGGTTTACAGGCTAGGACAATCCGAGTTTAAGGGCAACCTTGAGCCTGGTGAGATTTGAACGGCCGAATTCCAAGCAGCCGGCAGTCAGCAGAAGTAGCCCTGCAGTGCTGCACTCTAACCACCGCGCCGCTGTGGCTCACCCACCAACCACCATACAGGAGCATTCGATGATTTAACTTTCTGAAAAACCTCCCCATTCATTTGCCAGTTGGCCTTTGTAAGAGGGAGGCCTGAAGCCAACTGGATCCTCTTAACCTAGGAAAAACCCAGGTGGAGCTACGTTCTCCGATGTTTCCTGTTTCAATACAGGTGGTTGGCCTGATCAATATTTGGCTGGATGAAGCCAAAGGCTTGTCAAATCCAACCCACCTGGGCAGCCAGATTTTTCCAAGAAGTCCACCCGCAGGCTATAAGGACTGTGGTCCCCTCCTTTGCCATAGTTCTCAGTTCTCCGAGGTGGACTTCCTCAAGATCTGGAGATTCCCATCACTCTTACCTCTTTACTCTTTACTCTTATCAGAGTTGGAAGGGACCTTGTAGGTCATCTAATCCTGTTTGTATTATTTCTGTTCTGTTCTGTTTCTATTCTTTCTGTTGTATTGTATTCTATTTCTAGTCTACTACTCTTCTCCACCTTGGTCTGTGAGATCTTTTCATCAGAAGTGCCTCGCACCTTTCTCAGTTCCACTTTAAGAACCCACAATAAATATTTTGCCACTGATTTGCTGTATTTTGTCCAGAAAATACAGGGGTGCAAACCTCCAGATCAGGATTTTTCCATGCATGCTGTGTAGAACTTCATAAATCTCCATTATTCCTGAAGAAATTAAACAGGGAAGATAACCCAACCCAAAATCTGGTCAAAGTTCTGCCTTTTTTTCCCACTTTCCCAATGCACCTTTAAGGACAACCTAGTTTGTCCTAGTTTTGCCTTTTGATCAGGACTTCTGCAGCTTAAAAAAAGATGGTAAAATTCCATTCTGAATATGATTGAATGATACCTCCAGTGCATTTGTTTAGCATGGTGAAGAATGAATTTGTTGAGTGTTAAAAAAAGATCAATATTAAGGGGAAATCCCTGTTTAGCAGAAAAACAGCTGGGGAATTCAGATTTGTGATTCTTCCTGCTTATTCCTGGAACTGACTTATTATTTTCGGAGCTCCAGAGCTGGTTTATTTAGTCTGAGATGTTTGTTAGGGTGCCAGATTTTCCTACAGTAATTCACTTTTAGCCATTTTTGACATAAGAATGCAAAGAGATTGTGAGAGATCATAGTATTGCTTGGAGAACAGAGACGAAAAACCAGGAATTAGCACGGGGAAAGAGGTACAAATAGATACAGATACAGATTTGGAAGGGGCCTTGGAGGTCATCTAGTCCAACCCCCTTCCCAGCAGACCCTATACCATTTCTGACGGGGGGGCAGTCCAGACTCTTCTTGATGATGAAGCTCCCACAACTTCTGACGGCATCTTCTGTTCCATGGGTTGATTGTTCTCACTGTCACAAAACTACTCCTTATTTCCAGGTTGAATCTCTCCTTGGTCAGTTTCCATCCATTGCTCCTTTTCTGGCATTTGGGTGCCTTGAAAAATCGCTTGACCCCCTTCCTTCTGTCTGGGGCAGCCCCTCAAATATTGAAAGACTGCTCTCCTGTCTCCCCTGGTCCTTCTCTTCCCTAGACTAGCCAAGCCCAGTTCCTGCAACCGTTCATCGTATGTTTTAGCCTCCAGTCCCCTCAACATCCTGGTTGCTCTTCTCTGCACTCTTTCTAGAGTCTCAACCTCTTTTTTACAATGTGGATGCAGTACTCTAGGTGTGGTCTTACTAAGGCTTTATAGAGTGGGGTTAATACCTCCCTTGATCTTGATTGTATCCCTCTGTTAACGCAACTTAGGATTGCATTAGCTTTTTTGGCCGCTGTTGCACACTGCTGGCTCCTATTTAGCTGGTTGTCCACTAAGACTCCAAGATCCCTCTCACAGTTACTGCTATTAAGCCTGGTTTCACCCAGTCTGTATGTGTCCTTTTGGTTTTTCTTGCCTAAGTGTAGGACTTTACTTTTCTCTATGTTGAATTTCATGTTGTTAGATACGGCCCAGTGTTCTAGTCTGTCAAGATCCATCTGGATCTTGAGCCTATCTTCTTGGGTGTTGGCTATTCCTACCATTTTAGTATCATCTGCAAATTTGGTAAGTTCCCCTTCTATTCCCTCATCTAAGTCATTTATGAAGATATTGAAGAGTCCTGGGCCGAGGACAGAAGCTGGATTAGACCCTTGCAATACAGGTAGTTCTTGATTTATAATCGCAATTGAGCCTCGTTGCTAAGTGAGAAAGTTTGTTAAGTGAGTTTTGGCCCATTTTAGGACATTTCTGGCCACAATTGTTCAATGTCTGACTTCGGTTGTTAAGTTAGTCACCAGGTTATTAAGCGAGTCTGGCTGCCCCCTTTGTCAGAAGGTCCAAAATTACATGATCCCAGGACCCTGCAAGCCATCATAACTACGAGTCAGTTGCCGAGGGTGTGAATTATTATGCTCACGTGACGGTTGTAAGTGCGGAAAACCGTCATCGGTCGCCGTTTCGAGTGCTGTTTTTCACTTCGAACAGTCGCTCAGGAAATGGTTGTAAGTGGAGGACAACCCTGGGTTTGCAACCCTGGGTTTGCGGAGTGGCGGGCGAAAAACATTGCAAAATTTTCACCCCGTGAAGGAGACTTGGAAGTTCTTCCCGTGGTGATGAAACATCTTGATGGTTTCTGCTTTAGCTCTGGAACGGAGCGGAGGTTGCTTTTAAAAGGATCTTTTCATGCTGTGTGGGTGGGAGGCTTGAGAGCAGAGAGGGCGGCTGGTCTGTCGTTTTTGGATAGAAAATAAAAAAACTTTTAATCATTTGGAGATTTTGTTTCCCTGATTTTTTGGGGGAGGAGGGGGAAGACTTCGTTGGCCTCTGAATTTTTGCATCTCCCAATTGCTCGTTAGTATTGGATCCTCAAGTGGTCTCCTTTGGGTGGCTCGTCGTTATGAAAAACTCTCCAAAAAGTTTATCCCAGACATTTCTCAGAAAAGCATCATTAGGCCATTGGAGCAGGTGGGCTTCACCTTAAGTCCAAAAGTAGCCTGGGGTTGGGGGCCTCGGGGGCCCCTGGGGTGATCCCTGAGCTCGGTCGTTTGCTTGCAAAACGTTTCATGACCCAAGTAGGTTACATCATCAGTGCTAGAAAGGAAGTGGGGTTTGTGGAGGAGAATGAGAAAGTGGGGGGAAGAGGAGGAAGAAGAGGAGCAGGACAATGACTGTGGCATCCTTTGTGCTCTCTGAGCTTGGTGGTTTTCTTGCAGACGTTTCATGACTCAGCTAGGTAATGCCATCAGTGTTAGAAAAGAGGGGTTTTGTGGAGAGGAGGAGGAGGAGGGGAAGAAGAGAAGGAAAAGGAGGAAGAGGAGGAGGAGGAGGGGGAGGAAAAGAACGAGGTGGAGGAGGATTGTGGGGTCCTGGGTGCTCCCTGAGTTTGGTGGTTTGCTTGCAAGACGCTTCATGACCCAACTAGGTTACATCATCAGTGTTGGAAAGGAGTGAGGTTTCCAGGAAGAAGAAGGAGGAGGATTGTGGGGTCCTGGGTGATCCCTGATCTTGGTGGTTTGCTTGCAGAGGTTTCATGACCCAGCTAGATTACATCACTAGATAATTAGATATTATAGTATATAATTAGCACTACTATTACTATTAATCTTCTCATAACTCCTTATCCTCCCACTTGCGATTGTAGAATTGTAACTTTGTTGCTTGTATCCTTATGATTTATATTGACTGTTCCTAGTATGATTTGATTGCTGATTGTACCCTATGACTATCATTAAGTGTTGTACTTTATGATTCTTGACGAACGTATCTTTTCTTTTATGTATACTGAGAGTATTTACACCAAGACAGATTCCTTGTGTGTCCAATCACACTTGGCCAATAAAGTATTCTATTCTATTCTATTCTATTCTATTCTATTCCATTCCGCTTCTGCTTCTGCTTCTGCTTCTGCTTCTGCTTCTGCTTCTATTCTATTCTATTCTATTCTATTCTATTCTATTCCATTCCATTCCATTCCATTCCATTCCATTCCATTCTATTCTGTTCTGTTCTGTTCTATCCATACTGCTAGATAATACCATAAGCCCCTGATAATGTTATCTGGTTGGGTCATGAAATGTCTGCAAGAAACCCACCAAGTTCAGAGAGCATCAAGGACCCTACAGTCTTCCTCCTCCTCCTCCTCCACTCCACAAATCCCACTCCCTTCTAGCACTGATGATGTTACCTGTCATGAAACGTCTGCAAGAAAACAACCCAGCTAAAAGAGCACCAAGAACCCTCCTTCTCCTCCTTCGATTTCCTCCTCCTCCCCGCCAACCCCACTCCCTCCCTTCCAACACGGATGAAGTTACCTAGTTGGGTCATGAAATGTCTGCAAGAGAACCGTCAAG